GATATATACAGATGGTAAAATGAGAAACAAGTTCGCATATCCATCATCTCATTTTTTTTTGTATGTGACAAGAGCAGCTAAAATTAACTTATTTAACAAAAATGTAATGAATACAACTTTGTGTAACATTCTGGTGCTGTGCACTAGGGGGTTGGAGTTGTTCATCCTCTCTTTTGCTTCCTATCCTTTGAACATCAATTCCTGTATCTTCTCTCAATTCTTTTGACCCAGATGAGCACTGTTTAATTTTCTACCTCTGTAAATTCAACCAACTTTTTTTTAGAGTTGGAGGATATTATATTAAGTAAAATAAGGCAGACACAGAAATAAAAAATATTGCATAATCTCACTTATATATAGGATCTGAAAAAGTAAGCCATTTTTAATATTTTTTTATTATTTTGATTTTTTTTAATCATTATTTTTTTATTTTTTTTTTCATACAGAAGAATTTCATTCCAAAGCAATTGACATTGAGACGTTTTCACATGCATTTCTAATCTCTATATACATGACTATCACTGGTCACAGTCGCCCACCTTCTGAGCTCCTCGGCATCTGAGCATGAATACTAACTCGTCAGATAGACAGCCTTCCTCTCCCACTAGAGGCTCCATACTCTGCCATCCCTGTCACTGTCCACTGTGTTGTCAGAACCCTCATCCATTCCCCCCTGTCTGCCCTTCTGGTAAATCTAGTCAGCAAAATGCTTCTGTTCATTCGTTTTGACTATTATAAACACATTGTTATAACTACTGTTCTTTCTACAGAAAGCAAGCACTTTGATACACAACCGAGACATGTTTTTCTAAAGCAAAGAGATTGACAGTCGTGGCAATACTCTTTTGCATACAAATCGAAGGATGCGGTTTTTAACAAAAAATGCTACTGTTCTTCCATTTTCACTATTATAAACACATAGTTAGAACTGCTGTTCTTTCTCAGAAAGCAAGCACTTAGAAACACAAGCGAGACAAGTTTTTCTAAAGCCAAGAGACTAACAGTCATGGCAAAAGTCTTTTGAATACAATTCGTAGGAAATGGATTTTAATACAAAATGCTTCCGTTCAATTTTTTCACTATTGTAAACAAATTGCTCGAACTACTGTTCTTTGTACGTAAAGCAAGCACTTGGATACACACCCGACACATATTTTTCTAAAGCAAAGAGACTGACACTCATGGCAATACTCTTTTTCATACAATTCATAGGAAACGGGTTTTAAAACAAAATGTTTCTGTTCATTCGTTTTCACTAGTATAAACACATTGTTTGAACTACTGTTCTTTCTACAGAAAGCAAG